CGCGTCGCGCGCTCCCTCAGGGCCGAGGCGGCCCCGGCCCTCAGGGCAGAGCCGGGGGAGAACCCGCGGAATCGGGGAATAGAACGAGGTAAACCCACCCTCCCCCGCCGAAGCCTGGGTTTCATCGCCCGGTGTTCTCAGAGCGGCCTCCTGGTGAAGGCACTGTAAGTCGGATTGCTCAGAGTTTGTTTGTCGTCCCAACACGCGTAGTGAGGTGTCAGTCCACCTAAGTCATGACGGACATCAGAAAGTATTTCCCCTCCGCGTTTCTGCTCGAAGTAGGTAAAACCCTGAGAGGTGACACTGGTCTGGTTAAACTTGAGTGCTCTAGGAAAAACATTAAGAAAAAAAGCACAGTTGGAGGCTGAAAGATTAGGATTGGTCAAAGCGCTTGATTCCAGTTTGGGAAGAGCTTGTTGCTTGTAACAATTTTGAATGTTAAGGGGACCAAAACACAACTCACACGCAACTGGTTTCCGAAGCATATCAAGTTTGTTGGTAATGATCGAGTTTTCCTTTAAAAAGTCAATAAAAGCCAGCCCCTGGTTTATTTTGGCTGTACCCTTCTATTTCCATGGACAGAGTGCAGGGACACAAACTGTCAGAGCCTCTGATGAAAATTGTCATTTACCCTGTACCCCCAGGCAGGGCTCTGCTTCCTTTTCTAGTCAATCCTGACATCTTTTTCTTTTTTTTCAAATCTTTATCAAGTGGTTGGTTTTTTTTTACTCACAGGGCTTTGGTACTTGGCAAAATATTAACAATTCAGATAGTGGCTATAATCAATAAACCTTGTGCTAGTTGATTTTATGCTGCCTATCCATTTTTTAATATAATTCACATGCTTATATATTTTCTGTCATATCCTTCTTTCTTATTAATGGCAAATTAATGGCCAGTCATGAAGAACAATACAAAAAAATCACACTTGCACAATAAAAAAGAAATATATTTTGGCAAAACATCAGGAAACAAACATCTGTGAGAGTATTTCCAGTAGGGCTTTTATTGCAATTTTCCCATAATTTCTCCAGCTCTAGTGCTGCAGTTTTGTAAAAAAAGGGGAAAGGTGATAATCCTTTTGATTTACTTAGCTACACCTCAGAGTGCACCAAATCCAGCTTCCAAATCCAGTTCCCACAGATGAGTTAGATGAGGTGTATGGTAAAGACATACAACAAGATAATAACTGGAACAGAGAAAAACGCAGGCATGTAGCGTGGTTTAGTAGACAAGTTCCATTAAATCTGAGACAGTGCAGAGAGTAGATAAATCTTGAGATGCTTCCTAAAAAATGGCTCCAGCCAGTTCAAAGTTATAAATATCCGATAAAGAGTTTTACAAATTTTTAACAAGCTGTTTCTTTTACTTCATTTTGAGGGGCCTGTTACAAAATGGACTTACAAGATGGACTTTTTAGTCCATTCTTCTTTACCTAGTCAAAAGATACCTGACTAGATGGATGGCTGTTGTCATCTGGCACGGCTGATCCTTTACCCCATTTATGCAACTGCCTATAGAAACTCTTCTCTGTGTTGCATTAGGACTATTTGCTTTGACCTTTTGGTAACAGTTAATACTTATAATGTACTTGACAGGCTCTAAGTATCATTCCCCAGTATATTTGCAACAGTTCCTACCTTTATCATCTTTTTGAGAATTAGGAACCAGGAATATTGAGCAATGAGCAGAAAGTCATGATAAAGACAACACTGATGTGTCTGTTGTCCTCCCAACCCAGGTAAGTGAGGTGTCAATGCAGGTGTCATGACTGACACCTCACAACTGGCTGAAACCAGGGAGGTGTCAGTCATGGCTTACATGGCCTGACATCTCACTGCTTCACTGAAGCTGGTGGCAAAGCTCCCACCACAATGCACAGCCCCTGACCCTCAAAGCCAATGATGTTACCCGTGCACGGGCCTCTCCACAGATCACAGCTGCACAGGGGCCTGATGCTGGACTGCAGTGAATGCTGCCGTACCTCTCACACTCTCTGGAGTCCTGATGGTGCTCTCATTCAGTAAGGACTCAAAGAAGCACAAACTTGGAATTACTTGTGTTGCTGTACGTGCTTTTCTACAGATACAAACGCAACATCAAGTTTCTCTCTTCTGTTTACCTCAAGAGACATGGTTTATGTGTTAGGATCTGACAGGTTACACAGGATCAGGAATTAAAGTCTACATGAGGAGTAAAAAAATAACCAGCAGTCCAATGTGGAATGTAGAAGTGACTCTCTTTTTCAGAGATGACAAGATGGACAAGGAGGAGAAAGAAGTGTCTGTCATTCAGGAAGGACAGCAAAGGATCCTGAAAGCTGAACAGTGTTTCCATTGTTTTAACACAAGCTCCGCTTCTCCACTGGAAGATCCAAATGACAAGGACACTGAGGGTTTCTTTCTCTTTGCTGTTTGTTTCCCTAGTAACAAATACACAAGCTGCACTGTTAGACTACCATCCTTTTCTCTTCTTTTTTTTTATTTTTTTTGAAGATCAAGACATGTCGAGGATCTATTCAGTGCGTTCAGTAGCAGGTTAAGGTTGCTGGTACGAATGAACCTCTGATACAGCATGAGGTACTTGAAAGCACTGCATGTAGTCAGTGGCTGAGACAGTGAAATAACTTAAAAAGCATGGAAGAAAAATGCTTGCATCTCAATTTCTATACTGTTTAGGTTATAAACTCTTAGGGTGAAATCTGCCTTTCACAGCGGAGCTCTGATTTGCTTAGCAAAGCAAATGGCACAGTACTACTATTAAATCATGTGTAATGTCCTAATTATGTCCCATTCCTATTATCATCAGTAACATAATGCACACCATTTGAATGTGACTGATTTTGACAGGGACAACTCTCACCTATGTTTTTGTTGTGAGTTCTGGATTGTGAAACATCTCTTTAAATATAATTCTGTAATGGGAGGGAGTGGTGTTGCTGTTTCCTGTTAGGATTCTAGTTGAGGTTATGGTAATGGTCTGTAGTTGTGGAATTCACTGGGTTATGAGAACTGGAGAGATGGAATGCAGTCATTGTCTGTGTGGTTTAGCACAATAGAAATAGAATCAGTAGTGAATCTATCCAAAACCATAAAAAGCCATTCTGAAAACAAGACAAACTGAAAATGTGACAGGTAGAGGCAGGAAAGACCATTAGAGGCATCTAAACTGAGAAGCAATGTCTGGATCATTCCTTCCTTTGCTTCTTCAGAGTATGTTAAGCCTCAAAAGCTTGGAGACTTTAACCAAATTTTTAAAAAATTGCTTGGTCTTAGAATGTCAAATTCTGGTTTCTCTTGTTTTAGCTGAAAGAAAAAAAACTTTTTTTTTTTACACTGATTTAACTTCTTTCCTACATGTTTGCCATGCATGTGAGCTTAGTAATGAAAAACAAAAAGTCTAATCTTCTTTTCAGAGTTACTTAGGTTTGTAATATTGTGTTCTCCAAGGAAAAGAAATACGCATTTATTTCTCTGATATGGCCGCAGCTGGCCTAGAGAGTATAATGTAGAAATAACTGACAAAATTAATATCAAACTTCTGATTATATAATACAAAGATATTACATTATGCATTAATTGTAAGCCAGCTTTTTTTTAGGTCATAAATTATATTTGTCACAGTGTATTTTAGTTACATGTCTGGAACTGCATGTGTAGGGAGGTATTTCAGGTGAGCAAATAGTTTAGTATCTTTTCATTTGGGATGTTTTTTGAAATCAGTAGAAGTGACTATTAAATTGTCCTACATATGCCAATGTAAAACCTGCAAACCCAGAAAAGATGCAGTGGAACTGCATCTTCAGTGTATCAGGGAATATCAAGCAATATGATCAGCTGTCCTGAAATACTTTGATGTCTCAAGCTATCCTCAAGTGGAGAATAGGCAGAAGAATTTATTCGGGGGCTATGAATCAAACAAATCTGTATCATGCTTTTTATATGATGTAGACATCTGCTCATATACATATAAATGGGTGTGATGTGGAAAAAAGTCAGTCTCAGCCAGTTCTAGATACCTAATTCAGAAGAATATATATTCTCTCTAATCAGATGGCTGAAATACACCCCACCGGAGGGCAATTTGTCATCTGCAAAATCTGCATTGCTCTGTTCATGCCCACCATCACTGTAGAAGATCTACTTTATCTCGTGTGGCTTTTGAAATAGCAAACCCAGATGTTAATTAAACTTTTCTAATGTTCAGACTGACAGATGTACAACTGTCCTGCCTAAAGCAGAGAAGCTCACCAGGGAATTAGCCAGCATACAAACCCTTCAAGCTTCAGCATGCCTTAGTAGCTAGGTTAAATTTTATTTATTTTTTTTCTCCTGAATTTGTTTTTTAATACTTAAATATCAACTTTCACTAGAAATCTAGACCTTTGTCTTCAGGCTAACAGTAAGAGTTGAGTTTTGTTATATATTTCTTTTGGTTTTTAAACAAAAATATAAGGCCAACAAAAAGAGTCATCTTTATATAAGCACAGTAATGAAAATGGTGATCATAAGAACAAGTGACAGCCATTTTTGTTGTTGAAAATTGGTTTTTGTACTAACCAAGCTGTGGAGAGGTGAAGTTGTGTCTGTCCTCAAAAGCAGAGGCAGCTGCAGGAACTGTGAGCTACTCACTGGACTGGGGAAGTGGGGAAGCCCTGCAACTGTTTGTTACTGTTTTCCTGCTGGCTGTTGTTGGCTTTGCTGAAAGTCTCAAGAGCAGAACAGACAATTGTAGATACATGTGTGTATCCCTCTCTCTCTCAAACTTACATGTTCTTCTAATGGGAGAATTTATAAAGGTTCCATTTGTGTTTGTATCTGGCACCGTCAATCAATTACAACTTCTGGAACTGGAGGATTCACAGGTCAGGACCAAAAGGTGAGATAAAGCAAAGCAAAGTCCTAAAAGTGGGTGAAGTCCAAACACGAGTGTTTTGACTCATTCTAATATGCTTTAGACCGTTACAAAAAAAGATTCAGGACCAAAAAGCAGTACCAAAAATATGTATGAAAAGGTCTCTCTATTTTAATTAAAACTGTAAATCTAGGCAGTGGTTTAAGGTGCACATTATATCTCTCAGTCCTAATTCTAGAATTGCAAATCTTACTGTCTGTGTGCAATCTACCTCAAATATCTGTGTATGGGAAATGAGCATAAGCATTTTATGTATCAAATACAGACTTGTTCTAATAGTTAACAATGTGAAAGCATAATAGAGATGGAAAACAGGAAACAGTAGGCAGGCTTTACATTTGTCTGTGACCTGTTTCAGAAGTCACTATTTGGACCTAATTTCTGATGATGAAAATGCATTGGTGTAAATGACTGAACTGGACACAATCTGTCAGTGAACAAGAGCCCTACCCCAGTAGTTCTGTAACCTCCCCCTCATCTCTGAAAAAGAGGCAGTAGTTATTTTAAGATGTCCCAAGCTGCTTTGCAAAGGGCAATGTCTAGATCGTATCCAGAGACTGAAAAGACAGAAGTATTCTGAACCCCTGAGAGTGGCTGGGTGATTCTGAATGCAGAGGGCTGGGGGTTGTGCCTTCACTGAGGCTGTACACAAGAATCACACTGCACTTTACCAGGAGACTGGAAATGGCATCATCAGTTTTCCAGCTCTTCACTCCTGGTAAGGAAATTGCAGGGTGCAGTGGAATATTTAGTATGCAAACAAGAGCGGCAACACAATAAACCAGCACAACAAACACGTACAAACTAATTGCACTGGATGAGGACCCTAGCATTTAAAGCACAAAAGCTGATGCTGGCAGGGATTGTCTGCATTTAGCAGTAAAGAAAGCAGAAGACATGTTTCTCTGAGGCAAAAGGAAAATGTAGAATAAAGAGAACTACATAAGCTTTTCAATGTACATACACATATTAAAAAATCCACCTTTATGTAGGATTGTCATCTATTTCATGCAGCTACCAACTTCTTGGCTGATTGTTGGCCAGCTGTTGCTTCTCTGAGAAGTTAAACCTGTGTTTTGTGAGCTGTAGAAGAGCAGAGATTAATTTTCTGTTTATACATGTTTTGTAAAATCACATTCTGCATGTGCTTGCCTATATATGCAAAACAGTTGGCTAGAGGCAGGGATTCAAGCTTTTTCTGGTTTAGGATTGTTCAGTTTCCTTTTTTTCTTTCCTCTCTGAGATGTGTTTCTCATCTTAAAACCTAGACATATTTCCATCTTCGTTTTCTATCCTGTCCAGATTAGGGCATCCAGCACAAGCATATTCTGTCGTTTCACAGATAAATAGAGCCAGGGGATTACTGTAATCATGTGGTACCACTCACTGCGAGACAGAAGCCATGTGACTGGTGATATTACTGGTCATTTAAACCACAACATCCCTTAGGGAAACATCCTAGAACATCCTGTCTCTACAAATTGTTAATTCCTACTTCCAATCCTTAATTACTCTCATTGACAAATGTATACATATTTGTCCCTTGAATGTATTTAGTTTTATCTTTCAGCTGTTTTTTTCTTCATCTCTGTAAGACAGAGGAGACAACAGGACTCACTGTAGACATAAGAGCAAGTCATCCTTTTGAGTAATAGCATTTTATAAAGCACATTTTTCATTTTCTAAGTTGTTTCTGTATCTCTTCTCAGAACCTTCTCCAAGTTATCAAATAGTTTCTTGAGCTGTGGATTCCAGCAGCCATTTTTGTCCCTATCATGGACTGTCCTTTTCCTATTTAGACAGTCACATTATCATATCTATTTGTTCACTTAATTGCCAGAAGTTCAACTGATTTTTCATTGGGATCCCCAAAGGCGTTTCAGAATTGCTGTTCCCACTTCAAAACCAGGAATACCTGCCTATTCCCACCTTTCTTTCTAAGCAAGGAGATTTTTGCAAAGTTTAAAGCCCAGAGAAGCCTTATAGAGAAGGAAACAAAATCTCGATGAGTGTATTACCTTCCCTGGGTTACCAATAGCATTCCAGATACATTAGTGACACTGAGTTGTTCTTAAGGTGTAACACCACATTCAATAACTTATTAGGAGCACATAGTAATGTTTCTCTAATTGCCTAAATGAAAATTAAGCAAATTGCTTAAATGAAATTAGATTTGAAAATCACTGATGTATAAGAAAATATAAGCAAAATGGACTTTTGGGAAGAGATTACATGGTAATTGGTCTAATAAAAATGTTAGCCCACCCTAAACATCCCATCTTAGAGATGTTTTTAGACAATGATAGCTTACATAATGCTAAGAAAATGTATCTGTTACCATTAATCTGTTATTAATCCATCAGCCTCACAGCAACTATTCTAATATAGTTAGCTGTTTAAATAAACAATATAGGAAAGATAAAATGAGTGCTGCAGATGTTTAACTTTGGTCTTTTCTACAAGCAGTACCATTGTGCAGATCATAAGCTGTACAAACATATCCATTTTTAAGTCAAAAGGAGTGGCAATATGACCTGCCTGTTCAC